GTGAGATGAGTGGGTCGAGATAGCCGGAAAATGGGGATTTCCCCAGAAGCACCAGGGGCCATCTGATGTGACAGCCATCTCCATTGCTGTACTTCATGCATGTTTTTCACAAGCAGTTCCCGTTTTCAGCTCCGGAACACTATGTACGAACATAGAGGTGGATATTATCAATTCTAGTGACTACACCGCCGTTTGTCTGTTAGCCTATGGTCTATCACGTCTCACTCTTATGCTAAGACTTCTGTCGACGGCTAGTGCCTGAGCTAATAACAGTATTCTTTCGGCCTTTACAGCAGACTTCAGTGTAAACCTTGATGGGGGTAGCTTACTCTGAGGCCCGTTGTTCAAGCAAGCTATCCCTGCTCACAAGTACATTAAAAAGGATAAGAGAATTAGACCGTCTGACCTCAGACTCAGTTTTGGCGTTTGGTTGCTTGTATTCCTTTGCAGCGTCAGTAACCTTAGGCTTCATCACGTCTTGACCAGCCTTCGCTGTGTTACCAAGCTTGCTAGTGGATACAAACGGTTCTTTGGCAATTCTATCTTTCCATGATATGGTGAGTGCAACCTCGGGACTCTTCACTTTGTGAAGATTGGTATTTCCAGTCAGTTGGACTGAAGTATCCATCTTGCTCTCTGTACCAAGTTTTAGTGTTGTGGTGTTAGCAGGTGAGGAGCTTCATGGGACTGTGTTGCGACACAAGAGTGGCGTGCTGTTTCTGCTATTCGCAGACACTCTGTGTGTGGCTGTGACAAGGCGACATTGTGTACAGATATACCAGAACCATGGGCATAGGTAATATCTCATAAACTCACAGAATGATTTCGGTACACCTTTCTCACATAGGTAGTGTACCCATAGTTTGCGAAAACTGCATTCAAATGGTGGGTAAGTTTTAGAAACGATGATACTACACGCCTGACATTCGTTTGCCTTCCTTGATGACGCTTTCGAGGTCTAATGACGTCTTTGGCGTTTCCTTTTTCTTTTGCTGGGTTTCACGCACTGGCTTTCAGTGCACGCAGGTGTAGTATTCTGTGCATCTGGTATCGCCTGTACCGTTTCAGTGCTAGACTGTGGCAATACAGGCGTGGTACCAGGACAGGCGAGACCTACACGAGTCTTAAGGATCGATGCGCGGGAAGGGGTTGATGTCCCTGAACTGAATCCATACCGTACACCTTACTTTAGCAGTCTTCCCATCTTTGATCAACTACCATCTGCCACACGTGAATATGAAGCTCAAGCTGCTTGGGAAATCTACTACATGGTTGTTTTACTTGGCAATGAGTACGGCGCCTCCAAAAGGAAAGGTGCAATGTTATGAAATCAAAACCTATACTGATGAGACACCACCTGATGTTTTCAATTTTCTCCTTACTGGAGGAGTGTCCGGAGTCAGTTACCTGACACAAGAAATTGTGGGGAACTGCTACTGGTATTGGTCAGCTACACTATACCATCCTTTCCTGAACGTTGTGAGCCAAGTCTCATAAGCTGTCAATGTCCAGCTGTTGCTACGCTGGGCCTCACGCTGTCCCTCGAAGACTTTCAGAAACACTTTGTATTGACCAACACTGATCAGCGTCTCAAGAATCCTTTATTCTTATGCCAACATATAACCAACAATAAGGTTATTATACAAGGTCTAAGAATAAATGTTATAACAATAAATCATGATAATACTTCTGATATTTTTTTATCTTCCTTTGAACAGTGAACGATGGGACTATGACTGCCGGATTGATCCGCGAAAAATATGGAGGAGTTAGGTTTGAGCAAACAACCATGAATCGATCGTTCAATCTTCAACTACATTAACATAAACAAAGCTATACGCTTTGCTTGAAGAATACGTTTCTTGCCTCTTCCAGCCATGATGAATTTATTTCGGGCTATGCTTTGACTAGAAATACAGTGTCTGTCAACGTATTTGAAGACTGAGCGATCAATTCATGCTTGTTTGCTCAAACCGGACTCCTCCGTATTTCTTGCGAAAGCCATCAATACTGCAGTCATGGTTTCATCGTTCGTTAGAAGAGAGAAAATCTATCGGAAGTATTGTTGTGATTTATTGTTATGACATTTGTTCTTAGACTTTTTTACAATAACCTAGTGGTTGGCTCTGTATTGGTGAAAAAATAAACGATTCTTGATTCACCGATTTGTGCTCTGATTGCTTGTGTTGGTTATTGAGCATAGTTCCAGTCAGAATGACTATTTTAAGTTGTAGGGGTGTTTGGAGATTTCTGATTTTGCCTACTTTTCCTCTCAGTCGTCTCACATTGCTATATAGGTAGCTGACAGTGAGTCTCACAACTTCAGTGTGTTGTGGGGTAGTTGACGTGAAGCTGTCTGCTGTTAGGGAAGTTAATGTTGGGGCTAGTTGGCCTATTGTGATGAAACCGGCCCGTTTTTGTTTTTCCATTGATTTAGGTAGAATACTTGGGTGACACAGGCTGTTATTCTCAGTACTGCATCCTTCTAGGGTCACTGGGCCTTGGGAGAGTATTATAGCCTCAGTTTGCTGCCTCCTTATGGTTCGGGATCTGCTTACGCAGCATCGGATTTGTCCTCCTATTTTCCCCTTGGCCTCATACCACCGTTGAAGCGCTATGGCCAACTGCTCCGTGGAGTTGAATGTGACACTTAGCAGCCTTGGGGAACTAATCAGTGTGAGATGAGTGGGTCGAGATAGCCGGAAAATGGGGATTTCCCCAGAAGCACCAGGGGCCATCTGATGTGACAGCCATCTCCATTGCTGTACTTCATGCATGTTTTTCACAAGCAGTTCCCGTTTTCAGCTCCGGAACACTATGTACGAACATAGAGGTGGATATTATCAATTCTAGTGACTACACCGCCGTTTGTCTGTTAGCCTATGGTCTATCACGTCTCACTCTTATGCTAAGACTTCTGTCGACGGCTAGTGCCTGAGCTAATAACAGTATTCTTTCGGCCTTTACAGCAGACTTCAGTGTAAACCTTGATGGGGGTAGCTTACTCTGAGGCCCGTTGTTCAAGCAAGCTATCCCTGCTCACAAGTACATTAAAAAGGATAAGAGAATTAGACCGTCTGACCTCAGACTCAGTTTTGGCGTTTGGTTGCTTGTATTCCTTTGCAGCGTCAGTAACCTTAGGCTTCATCACGTCTTGACCAGCCTTCGCTGTGTTACCAAGCTTGCTAGTGGATACAAACGGTTCTTTGGCAATTCTATCTTTCCATGATATGGTGAGTGCAACCTCGGGACTCTTCACTTTGTGAAGATTGGTATTTCCAGTCAGTTGGACTGAAGTATCCATCTTGCTCTCTGTACCAAGTTTTAGTGTTGTGGTGTTAGCAGGTGAGGAGCTTCATGGGACTGTGTTGCGACACAAGAGTGGCGTGCTGTTTCTGCTATTCGCAGACACTCTGTGTGTGGCTGTGACAAGGCGACATTGTGTACAGATATACCAGAACCATGGGCATAGGTAATATCTCATAAACTCACAGAATGATTTCGGTACACCTTTCTCACATAGGTAGTGTACCCATAGTTTGCGAAAACTGCATTCAAATGGTGGGTAAGTTTTAGAAACGATGATACTACACGCCTGACATTCGTTTGCCTTCCTTGATGACGCTTTCGAGGTCTAATGACGTCTTTGGCGTTTCCTTTTTCTTTTGCTGGGTTTCACGCACTGGCTTTCAGTGCACGCAGGTGTAGTATTCTGTGCATCTGGTATCGCCTGTACCGTTTCAGTGCTAGACTGTGGCAATACAGGCGTGGTACCAGGACAGGCGAGACCTACACGAGTCTTAAGGATCGATGCGCGGGAAGGGGTTGATGTCCCTGAACTGAATCCATACCGTACACCTTACTTTAGCAGTCTTCCCATCTTTGATCAACTACCATCTGCCACACGTGAATATGAAGCTCAAGCTGCTTGGGAAATCTACTACATGGTTGTTTTACTTGGCAATGAGTACGGCGCCTCCAAAAGGAAAGGTGCAATGTTATGAAATCAAAACCTATACTGATGAGACACCACCTGATGTTTTCAATTTTCTCCTTACTGGAGGAGTGTCCGGAGTCAGTTACCTGACACAAGAAATTGTGGGGAACTGCTACTGGTATTGGTCAGCTACACTATACCATCCTTTCCTGAACGTTGTGAGCCAAGTCTCATAAGCTGTCAATGTCCAGCTGTTGCTACGCTGGGCCTCACGCTGTCCCTCGAAGACTTTCAGAAACACTTTGTATTGACCAACACTGATCAGCGTCTCAAGAATCCTTTATTCTTATGCCAACATATAACCAACAATAAGGTTATTATACAAGGTCTAAGAATAAATGTTATAACAATAAATCATGATAATACTTCTGATATTTTTTTATCTTCCTTTGAACAGTGAACGATGGGACTATGACTGCCGGATTGATCCGCGAAAAATATGGAGGAGTTAGGTTTGAGCAAACAACCATGAATCGATCGTTCAATCTTCAACTACATTGACAAACCAGTCAGATATAGAGAACATTATGAAAGTTCATTCCAAACTAAATCATGCGTGTTTTAATGGATTTGATGAGGAAAGATACAATGTTTCGCTTATTCTTTGGGTAGTGCTTTCTGTAAATGTATACTTTAAAGTGGGACCAAGACTAGTATTAGGACTTAGGGTAAAGGTTGAGGTTGGGATTAGGGTTAAGATCAAGAGAACCTCGCTCGACAGTCACTTGTTCACGATAACCACCTAACACGTATGGTATGATTTCTCTGTGGATTGTTCACGAAGTAACTGAGCAACATTCTTACAACACATATAAAACAATTATTCAGTGTAATATCAGATTTGCAATTGTTTTCACCGAGTCTTTTTGATGATTATGAGACTTTTTTGCATCTGAATTTTGATTGGTTGTTCAAGGTCGTTGTTACTTTGGCTGTGGTAGTTTAACTTCGCCGCAAGATTTTATCCGCACACTTTAAATCTGACTCTGCCCAGCTCGTTTTTATCCAGCGTTTGTGTGGCTGTTGATCTGTCTGCCAGACATTGAGGTAGGCATAATATTTAACTGCCCTATATATTATGTTTGTCAAAATTTAATATGAAATTGGATTGTGTATTTTATTATGTACCTAAGTAGATAACAAGCAGTTGAGTATATAGTTTTTAAGAAAAACGTAGTTGCACATCGTCAGGATTCTAATCCAAAACTTACCCGATTTCCATACATGTAATTCATTTAAAATCATGTTACTCAGCGTTTGATAGGCGGACGTCTTGTTCATGATCCCTAATCTCGATGACGCATGCGAGAACCCAAATGAATACAAATGGAGTGATTGGGTAGTAAAGTAATGAAAAGAAAGTTACGTTTGTGATAAGTGGTAAGACAGGAATCAGAACGGGTTGTGGATATTCAAGAATATGTTTCGGATTGGTTGCGAATGGATGAAATCACAAAACTGTTTACAAGGTAGGTAGTCATTAACACGTGCGTCTTCCCAGGTTTTAATGTGGGAATGTAAGCAGTTTTGAAAGAGAGAGATTCGGAACTATTCTTAACTTTTCCCACGACTTCCACTGATCCAACAAGCTGTACTTCTTCCCCCTACCCCTTGTCTAAGTTAATAAACCAACCTATTTATCCTACTTTAGAGAAGTGCATCACGCGCCTCCATGTTCACGAGGAAATCCCCCATTTGGATCATTATTTGTTTGTCATATGGATTTTAATGGGATAGTTTTCTTTGTCACACGTGGCTTTTTAATCCTGTTGTCAGTTTGCTGTTCACGTTTGGTAAGTCTTGGAATCGCTCAGGTTTCCTATTAGTATGTGTGACGTTCAGCACTTATCTACTTTTCGTCTGAAAAGTAGACACTGAAAGTAGGGCGTAAAATAAAGGTTTTTCAAAGTCTGAGTTAATGCTGTTGCCGGGATAATTCATTACGGTAAATCAATATGAAAGTATAGGTATGAGAATTCCAGTCAGTTGGTACAGCTACAAAGCCCCGGCAGTTGAGATGGTTGAGTGTATCTAACCGTAGCACCCTTGATGAGCTGTGCTTTGTGAGGTCTGTCTGTCTGTCTGGATTCAACATAGAACTTGGCACCGAAGTGCAGCAGTTCGAGTTGCCACGTTCCAAATAGCACACAGAGGTAGACAAGAAGATGAGTGGAGAATGTATATGAGGTATAGTTAAGCTGGATTTAAGTCGGTTCGTATTATAGTGAGAGGTTAGTTGTGTGGGTTGGTTTGGATCTTATGCCTTTTGAATTCTAGGAATTAAAGGTTGGCAACACCTTGACAGATCATATTCCTCCACATTAGCGTAGATGCATTCTTCCGGATTCTGAAAAACCCCACTGATTTTCAGTCAGTTACTCTCTTCACACATACGGTTTTATTTTGTCTCAGTACCTTTCTGTCCTCCCAATTTGCGTGGTTCTTAACTGTGGCAACTTGTGCAGTCTGATTTGCCTGCCAGTATTGTTACATTTTTTAAAATGGTTCTTATGTTGTTGACATATTTGATGAGACCAAAATCCATTTTCTTACTCCAATGGTAGGTGCGCTGGACAAACAGTGGTATTGGTGAAACATCAGCGAACTCGCTACAGCCTGTCGTATGAGTAGTCTGTTATCACAGATACGCTCGTTGATCCGTTCCGTATCTACAGTTCGCAGTAAAGATAATACTTCGAAATCATTTCTAAAGAGAGTAAGACTATGCCTGTTGACAGCTGTTGCTGGATATGACAATAAGCATACAAAATATCAAACCAGGATTCCACCTAAATGGGTTTACGGCGATGATGCTTGTTTCCTGTCAATAACGGACTCTTCGTGCGTCTTAGGTGAGTCATATTATTCTTGCGACTCGTAGATTACCATAATTTTACTTTTAATGCGTAAGGTAGTCTTCATAGAATATATGGGATTAAACTGCTCTTAAATTTACCCTATCATGATGTCCTTTTGATCAGTTAACATTCCGATTTCTGTGTTTGCCTACAGTGTGATTTGGTTGATTTTGTTTTAGCAGTATTCTCCTTTTTCTTAGTTTTTTTTAGTGTTGACTAGTAGTTTCTAACCCCAGATGGTACATAATACAAGGTCTAAGCACACAGAAGGGACGAGGGCATTCTCAGAGTAGCTTTAACCTATCTAAGCAAATGAGTTTCAGCTGACTTCGAGGATGGTCATATATTTTTTTTGACCTAGGCAGTGGAGTAGTGTAATTAGCCCGTCACACTGATTGCGGGTCCTGGTCTGATATAAAAACACACGAATTAACTAGGTTGTATTATTGAACTAGTCAGCTTTAGCAGGTTGCAGGTCATATTTCTTTGGTTTCTGCTTTATTTCATGTCTCTAAAGTTATCATATCCATCTTAGCAGAAATGTAACAATTGCCCACGGAATTGTGACATTACTTACTGTAAGATGTACACTGCAGTCACATGTAGTGAATTTTGTGTCCACTTAGTTTCCACTACTGTTTCTGGAATAAAAGCGAAATTGTTATTTTATGTTAACATGTTTCTGAATCGCAGTATTCATTGTACACTTTAGTAACATGTAGCATCACTGTTTACCAATGTACCACTTATGGAGACTGTGGAATTCATATGCCAACAGATACTAGAAAAACAGATCGACATCGGAATACCGGTTAGTAGTCTGAAAGAGTTGCTTTTAAGATGTACTATGAATGTACATTTCATATTTAACAACCTTTACTACAGGCAAATCGACGGTATTGCCATGGGTTCTCCGTTGGGGCCAATTTTAGCAGATTTCTTTCTTGCCAAGATTGAAAATGGTCCATTGAAAAAAGTAATAGAAAAAGCTGATTCTTATTTTCGTTATGTTGATGATACCTTTATTATTCTTGATGTGAAAGCTGACAAGAATGAAATGTTAAAAAAGTTTAACGATGCACATCCATCGCTTATCTTCACTTGTGAAGAAGAATATGATGGTGGACTACATTTTCTTGACGTCCAATTGAGCAGAAGAGAGGATGGTTCACTAAAGAGAGATGTCTATAGAAAACCTACATCTGTAGGACAATATACACATTTCCTCAGTTATGTACCAATCCGTTACAAAATCAATTTGGTCAGATGCCTGACGAATAGAGCAAGACGCATCTGTACAGATGACTCTCTAGAGAATGAGCTAGGATACATCCAAAATACGTTAGTCCAAATGGGTTATCCTAGTAGATTTGTCAGGAGACACATGAATGCGAAGTACAATAAAGAGAAACCGATAACAGTTAAAAAGAAACAACTGTTCATCAAACTGCAATTTAATGGGGACGTGGCTAGTGAAGTCTTACATCAGAGATTATCGAGAGCGATAAAACGGACTTATACTGCCGCCACCCTCTGTTTGTCATTTTCCAGCCGGCCAATTTTGATTGCTCAAGTGAAAGATAAGTTACCGAGTTGTGCCACTTCCATGTGTATTTATAAATTTAGTTGCTCCTGTGGAGAAAGCTATATAGGCCGAACAACTAGGCAGCTTAACAAACGCATTAATGAGCATCTTCCTTCATGGTTCGGAAAAGGTCAAATAAAGTCCATACGAAGTTCTATTTTGGCACATTTGATTGATAGTGGTCACCAAGTGGACAAAAATAGTGCTTTCAAAGTTATTTACCGCATTCCATCAAGCCTTTCGAACGGAATCAGAACCCGACTTTTACACTTAGCCGAAGCTATGGGAATTCGAGAGAACAATCCTAGTCTTTGTATACAAAAGAAATTTGTTCTACCTTTGTCTCTCCCTTGGCCTAGGTGAATTCTATTCAAAACCCTCCCACCCTTTCTTATCATCCCTCTCCTTCGTACTTTTATGATATTTATTTAAACTCTGATTATCGTTCCATTTGATTTGACCTAATTTATTTATTTATTGAATTGTCTACATATATGCATATACTAACTTTGTTATTCTTATCACCTATATAAGCCTTATTAACAATATTTTGTTATTATTATAATCATCGTTATTAACTTCGTTCAAAACATTTACCACATTATTATTTGTATTATTATGATTACTATTATTATTTGATCCACTAAATCACCGTCATTGGTTAAAATTTTATATATATAAGTCTATGTAAATTAGAGTAAAGCCTGAAGAAGATCTAATTGAAAACAATATTGTTCGCTTATATGTCTTGTTCTAATATTATAAATGGGAATATTTAAAGACTTTAGTAACTACCAAAGAAATTTGAAACTAATTAGTTTCAGCCTTAAAGAGCAAAACATTATCGTTTTTTCGCTTCATTCGTCAGTGCCAACGAAAGTACTGCAAATATTCTTTCTGACTGGTACTGTCAGTAGGTAGCTTAAATATTTCTATTTTTCCAGCCTAATAATCGATGTTTCATAAATATTTTACTGCTTTAGGTGGTAATTATTTTAATAATTGGTTGTATAAGGATTTATTTTAGTCTTATTCAATTGCTTTGACGTATCGCATTTCTGTAAATGGTAGGTGTCGCTGATGGTGTTGGTGGCTGGCGGTCATATGGAGTCGATCCTGGTCGATTTTCCAGGGCAGTTATGAAGAATTGTGAACGCCTTGTAAACTCAGGACGTTTTATGCCCGATAAACTGGAATTTCTAATAGCTCAGTGCTATGAAGATGTTCTGAATTCTAAAGAACTTATTTTAGGTATGCACAATCAACTAATTTTACTTGCTTATTATAAATCTTACACTCTTGTTCGCAAACCTATGTGCTATGACTCGTATATTTTTATTAAAAATAGAAAATATGCAAATTTCTGATAATCCTGATGGTTTAGAGACTAAAAGTAGTATTGAAAGGTTTGAAAGAGTGAAGTGAACACGACAGCACGGATTTGTTTCTTTCACCTGTCAACTTTTGCCTATAACTTATAAAAACCGTTCGGTGGATTACAGTAGTAAAGTCAGTTAGTATATCAAAGGAGATTAAGAGCTGTACTCATAAAAATAAAACTGGCAAGGTATTTTGAGATGCGATTATATATACATTTTTGTGAAAACATTTTACGGGTAGCAAAAAGGGTATTTTGGAATTTAGAAAATCTGGTGGATGAAGTGGTGAGTAACCTTATAGACAGACGTTTTATAATTATTCGAGTTCACTAGATTAGTGCAAGATAAACAACTGAGTAAACAAATACCAAATATCGTTTCTTCTGTTTCTTCTTGGACGCTTATATGTGGTTTTAGCTTTTTGACGATTACTTTAATGATTTTAAATTATGAGCCTCCATCGATAACCTAAAACATGGAATAAATTCATCCAAGATAATGCAACGGATTATGCAGGGGTACAACGAATATAATAATTGACTGACTGTCTTCAACATAGAACTTTGCACCGATGTGCAGCAGTTCAAGTCGCCAAACTCCATGTAGCACACAAAGCAAAAGAAGAAAGAAATTCAAAACAGAGACAGTAAATAGGGATATGAGACATAAGGAATAGTAATGAGGGAGAACAGTATAGTTTCATCGGGTATTATAAGTCACTAGAAGTGGATGCATCTGCGCCATTGAGAACGATATAATAATTTACTTTTAGCTAACGAAAATTTATGCTTCTGGAGTTTATCTAGGAGATTGGCATCAATGTGCGCATTTAGTTTGGCCATCAGTTTCTACTGCTCTTCATAGAATTAAAAACTGCAGAATTTTCGCGATGAATATAACAGACGACCATCATTTTGGTAGTTCTGTCTACTAACTTTTATCCTTCTTGGAGTCCTTACTTGTAACCATTGTAGTGTAGAAACAGAACTACAGATAGGTTGTCCAGATTTTCTCTTCCGGACCATAACTTTGTAATCATATTCTGTCACCCTACGTGTGAGTATTTATTTTAACAATATTAGTTCGGTTTGCTTGTAAAGATGCAACTCATGATACATTTTTTGCATTGTCGATTGTTCAACAGTTCACTGAAAATCTTTTGAAATTGTTCATTCATTTCCTTATTTGAAAATGTTTTGTTTATGTAGTGCATTCACCTTTCTAACTTTTACAGGAAGTGCCACTTTATGCATTATATCCTTACAGCGAAATGAACACAGAGTATATGGGGCTAGTTTGGGTGACAGTGGCTATCTGGTCATACGTGAGGGAACTGTAATTCATCGATCGGTTCATCAAAAGCATTCATTTAACACACCATTCCAGTTGGCCTGTTTACCAATAGTTCATTCAAGACAGTTTCACTGTGACTTGTAAGTCAAAAGCAAATTTTTGTTAACTTTAAAGTGGTTGGTTAATGAGGGATTGGTCAGTTCTTTAATAGCTATTATGGGATCGTAAGTTTGGAAACAAAGAAATGTTTAATAATAATTTAGAAGTTTCCTGTGAACACCTTTCAGTGATCAAGATTTCCATTATTACTTTCAGTCATTGTCCATTACAGTAAAAGCAGTTTACCAAAGTATGACAATCTGGGATAGTCCCACCACTGATTACTGAAGAGTTTAAAAGTGATGATTGCGGATTTCCAGCTGTATCGCGAGTTGCAATAAGATGCTGGGGTTTGTTAGTTAATAACTGGTGTTTGGCATGAATAGCTGAATGCAGTTTTACGGACAAAAAATTAGGTAAATCTCTTGTAGAACTTCATGGAAACTATTAAAATGACTGGGAGGCGAGAAGTTAAAGTTGTTGAAAAGGACTACCGTTATAGTGTATGCATAGCTCTACAAAATCTTTTCCGAATACGAAGTTTGCATTTTTGTTTTCTTCTAATTTTGGGAATATGAAACTAGAGAATACTTCGGTGTTCGAATAAATAATCTAAATAACTTCGTACAACAATTTTATTTTGTTTAAATTCATCTCAAATCGTCCTAATACCATTTTTTCTCATCACGAATCACTGGAGCATACGGATTAGAATCTTTTTTATGATATCAATTTACCTCGTGGTTACAAAAGCCTCCATTATAGATAAGATTTTATTTTGATAAATCACAGTGTTGTACAGTTATATGAACTGATGACGTTTCGAGCACAAACTATTGCACATAATCATATCAAGTTGATATGATTATGTGCAATAGTTTGTGCTCGAAACGTCATCAGTTCATATAACTGTACAACACTGTGTGATTTATCAAAATAAAATCTTATCCATAATGGAGTTATACTCTACCACAGTGCCCAAGTTTTATACTTATATAAATAGTTACAAAAGCCTCTTGTTAATTGAGTGCCTGTAAGCGTAAAGTTTAGATTCAGTGTTTTCCTATGATTGTCTCTCATCGCATTACATAAATTACCACAGGGTTAAATCACCCAGTAGAATTTAGTTAGTGCTAAACACGAGACAAAATGACATTGATTACTCTTCTGTGTTCAATTAATTGTGTTTAACTGTTCTCAGTTGTCTTTTTAATAAAATTGAATGGTAAGGTACACTTTCCTCGTAAATGCATTTCTATGACTGACATCATTTTTGATTCGTTAGCTTTGCTGAACAATGGAAATATGGAAGAATATTTTTCAACACCCTTCAAATAAATACCGTTATTGTTTGAGGATTGTTTTTTAGGTGGTCGTCAATGTGTTGCACGATACGTTTGTGTACTCTTACCCAGTCAGACAATGCACCTGGGTAACGTGGGCTAATTGGGTAATTTTGATCGGCCAAGACATCGGCTAAAGGTGGTTAAAACGCTACACAATTAACCCACTTTGCCCATATTGGCCACTTTTCCCGTTTGCCTATGTCCCGAAAAATTTTATTGTCCAATTTTTTCCCAGTTTACCAATTTTTTCAACGAACACTTTACCCACTTATTCCCACTTCACCCATTTTACAGCCTAAAACAGCCTACCTTTTTCCTCTTTGCCCAACTTTGAACGGAAAACTGCCCCACGTATCCTGGGTCCCGAAAAATTCACCAACTGGGTACTTATTTACTTGTGCTACTACTTGTGCTCAGTATCACTTTATTCTTATATCTGTGGTTTTTTAGTATATTTGATAATATTTCACTTGTTTCCTCTAAATATTAATTACACAGACCGAACCAAGCTGTTCAAACTAGTGTGGAAGTTAAACCTGGTGATATTATAATCGTTGGCACAGATGGACTATTTGATAATCTAACTGAACCAATGATATTACAAGAAGTTAAAAATATTGAAGTAAGCCCCAATTTTTTAATTTCATGATATTATTGGCTTTTGCACATTGTTATTTGAAGTAAATTTCCTATAGAAAATAGACTTAGCACAACAAGTTTTAAAAATTTACTCCAGTCGAATTTTAGGTTTTTAATCAAACGTATGTAACTATGAGACAGTTGAACACCTCAAGTGGATACTTTTCATTGAGGCGGTTGGAAAGTCTTTTAGATTTCAAATTTCTACTTACAAGACATAATATAAGTTGACTCTAGTGAAAATGAATGTTCCAGAAGACAGGCGATTACTTCTTCTCCCATTTCAATGAATCGCTAAAGTCTTTCACCCTCTTTGAGCTAGAATGGTATGCCGTACTCATTGTTGGACGTAAAGGCACACCATTAATGCCAAAAACAAACCTAAACACCACACTGCCTTGCAGTCAAATGACCACAGGCTTAGGTACTGGGTTAATCCCTGTTCACTAGCAGTTACTAGGGGAATCCTTGTTAGTTTCTTTTCCTCCGCTTAGTGATATGCTTAAGTTCAGCGGCTATTCACATCTGGTCCGAGTCAGGGTAAAACTGATAATATGCACTAGACACCCTCGGTGAAGCCATAGACTATGTACAAACCTCCAATCAAGCCATTTATTTATATGTAAGTGTATTCTGTCTGTCTGTTTTCGACATAGAACTTTGCACAAATGTGCGGAAGTTCAAGTCGCCACATTCCGTGTAGCACGCGAAGCAAGAGAAGAAAGTACAAGAAAAGCATAATAGAAACAGTGAGCAGAGGTGTGAGACAAAGGAGTAATAAAGAAATACATAACAATTTCATTGAAGATCATAAGTCACAGGGAGTGGATGCATCTGCGCCACTGAGAACGATTTTGAGCCATGTCACCAATTGTTTCCAACCATAGATTTTTGCCGTCCCGAGGACCCCAGCCTGGAAGTCTACACCTTCCTACGTGGCTTAGACCAACTGTTGTGGATTTCATTGACTGATGCCAAGTTTTTGTTTGACCGCCGCTAGCTTTTTTCCAGCCTGACCCTATATCCGCTAACATAGCTCGTCGAGGGAGGCGATGACTTGGCATACGTAACACATGTCCTAACCATCTCAGTCGATGTAGCTTCACGACTTCGTCGATTGATTTCCCCTGTTTACCTAGAACTCTACGCCTAACCTCCATGTTGCTCACCTTATTATGCCACTTTACACGGGAAATAGAACTCAGGCACCTATGATCAAAGGCAGCTAGTCTTTTCATGTCTTCCACTCTCAGTGGCCAGGTCTCACAACCATAAAGGAGGACGGAGCGGACTGATGAGCAGTACACCCGCCCTTTGGTCGATAGTCGAGCATCTCGTCTACGCCAGAGTCGGCGTAAACTAACAAATGCGAAACGAGCCCCTTGTATTCGTGCTGAGATTTCGTCAGAGATCAGCCCGTTGGGGCTGATGGTATGTCGTGTACTCTCGAGCGTTTATATGTATGTATATGCGTATATCAGTCAGCTACGACTCAAGCACAACCCACTATGGCGACTCAATCAGACGTTTTACACCAGACTAGTCTATGGCCGGACAAATTAGGACGGAGCCAGTGATCAGCGACCCGTGTTGATATATGGGTATACACGCCGGTAAGCACTCGTCCAATCCTCGCCAAAGTGCCTTTCACTGGTATCTGTTTCCCAGTTCTCATGATGTGAATTACAAGTTTATTCATAAGTTACCCATGTAAACATATATTCACTATCAGAAAAGTGTATTATGAGAATATTTATAAGAATTTGTGTGAACATGTTGAGTTGAATAAAAATCACGTGCTTTACGTGTTAGGTTTTCTAAAAGAATATAATATATCTAATTTCCAAGATTCTTTTCTAATGCGAAATTACGTGTTCCGTTGACTAACAAGTAAACTGTATGTTTTTTGCCAGTTTTTCTTTCAATTAAGTCTTCAATTGAAGTTATCATGATGCATTTAATACAAGATAAAGCATAACGACTGAACCATTTTTTTATCAAAAAAGACAGCACAGCGTTTTATGAAATTAATAAAGCTTGGAAAAAATATTTTTAAGACTAACTAGGCTGACTGACATAGACCTTTGCACATATGTACACCGTCTCGAGTTACCACGCTGTCTCCATTTAGCACTCAAAGCGAGAGAAGAGATTCAAGAAAGATAATAAAGAGAAATGTGAAGCAAAAAGAACAGCAATATGGAAGAACAGTAGTTTAATTCTACACGATAAGTCACAAAGAGTGAATGCATCTGTGCCAGCTATTGAAAACGATTTTGAACCATATGATCACCAGTTGCTTCCAGTCTCCATTGGTTTTTACTTTCCCGAGGATCCTAACCAGGAAGCCAGTCTACACCTGTGGTGAGAGATGGCTGTTAGTCAAAATTGGTGGACAGTAATTTACGTCAATGTTTATGTCCCAAATATTGGTCGTGAGAAAAATGAGAGCAAAAAATTTGCTTAGGCGAATACAGTTAACACATAGATGATCTGACATTCAAGAAACAGTCGCAAAGAGATGCAAGGTTAACTTTCTATGAGAAACAACCATTCAAAAGACTGTGTTTTTCTGCTAACAATAATCTACAGTAATGTACATGAAAATCTATAAATATGTGTTGATTTTCCACAATAAACGATCTGTTGCCTGACTCTTGCCTTCTGCCGTTACATTTAGTTTCGCTGCCTACCGACAAATGGAAAGCATATGCCCTGCAGTTTTTGATGGAGACATATGGATCTTCGGGCAGGGCTTCGAGGCTTCTGCGCAGTTCAGTGGTGTTCCAGGTCTGTTGCCTGGCCCTCTCGTGTTTGTTTCTCCCGAAAACCGCCTAGTCTACGCACTACTATTATACCTGGAACTTTAGATAGCATACTGGTCAAGCTAATCCCCTTGTGATTATCATAATAGGACTGGTCTCCTTTCTTGTATATTGGGATAATCAATGACTTACACCAGCTCGATGGGACTATCTCTGATTCCCAGACTCTGCCTAATACCTTGGGTAACGCAAACGGTAAACTGTATCCACCGTCCCTGAACACCTTGGGAGTCATTCCACCAGGTTCCGCTGTTTTGCCTCGTTTCAGACTAGTGATAGCTTTTGTAACATCAGTTAGGGACGGAGAACCTGTGTTTATATCCCATTTTAGGAGATGTTGGATGCTGGATAAACTGAGCGTGACTGTAGGCCAATTGAATTGCTTTTCAAAGTGTTCTTTCCAACGTTCTAGTCGCATATCGTGGGAACTATTTATGGTGCCATTTTTCTCCGAGATTGTTTCACTTATCATTTGCCCTTTGCCACCTGTTTCCCTGATAAGTCTAAATAGTTGTCTGGTGTTACCTATCACCAATCTTTTCCGCTTTTTTCGCCCACCACTGTTTACGGTCTTTTTGGAGGCTTCTTGTTAGTTTGCGTTTGGGCAGCTTTCACTCCTCATCATAATCGGAGCTCACCGTAATCAGTCTTCCTTCATTAATCGGTTCGGATGAGGTAGTAGAAACCCACTGGCTTTTGATAACTTTTGGTTTTAGGTTAATTATAGCCTTTACAACTTTAAAGGCCGTTATTACAAGACTGTTCAGAACTCTACAGGCTAAAATTAAAGTTTATTTCAAATCATATATAGATAAGCGATGTGACTGTCTGAAACTAAAACGAATTTCACAGGTTATCACCTTTTTGTGTATTTATGGCGACTTTCAATTTCAGCCTGTTAATATTTGATGAGAAGACAAGAATACTTTGAGCTGACAAGAAGACTCTAGAATATTCGAACTTCTCAGACGATTTGTGTTTAATGTCACACAAAATTGAAGATCTACAGGCGAAAACCAACAAGCCAGCCGGCAGGAGAGTTAGGTAATGCAAACAGCACCTCGAGTGAAGATAGCGAAAAGGTGGCAAAGATACCCTAACCAAAAATACGCAGCAATCACTATCAATGGGAGAAATTTGAAAGACGCCACCTTTTTCATTTATCTAGGGAGCATTGTGTAAAATACTGGTGGAATGGATGATATCAAACCCCGGGATCGGAAAGGTATGACAGACATTCGTTATTCGGAAATCAATGTTGAAATCTGCTGCACTCAGCATAAAGAACATGGTTCGGATTTTTAACATCAATGTCAAGTCTATGTTCTATGTGTTACGGAGACTTTTCGTGTCACCAGAGGCATTGTCAACAGGCTGCTGCAGACTTTTATCAACAGAACTATTCCAACGAACCAACCAAGAGAATCCTATGACTCAACAAGTATGCGGGAGAAAATTTGGATGAGCTAGACATACACTGAGGAGGTCGTCTAGTGATATCGTTCACCATATCCGTTATTGGAACCCGAATGAGAGTTGGGTCTTTGGTTCGAGGGTAATATGGAGTAGACCGTGTGAAGAGAAGTCAGCCAAATAGTACTTCAGTGTGCCTACTCATAAACATATGCTTATAGGTAATTTTACGGGATTACGGTATTGATCATTGGATGACGTTATGAGCACAATTTGTTGTACATATTCATATTATTGAAATGATTATTAATAACGTGTCACTGCGTTATATCAAGTACAGCTATGTAACGTGGAACAGTACTTTAACACAATGCCCAAATTTTACTCTTACATAAAGTTGATTCCAAAATTAGAGCTTTATTAGATTTTTGGTGAAAAAGAATGTTAATGATGTGTTACTTCTGGTCACATAATGTTGATTCTTCCAATAGGACGAATAATAATTGTTGTTCTGTCTGGGAAATTTAGATTTCTGTATTTACACTTATTCATTTTAGTTGCTTGCAAATTGTACAATTGAAAGCCTAAAACAATGTGCTAAACGTCTTGTTGAGCAGGCACGAAGCGCAGCATTCGCTCCTGATTTTGTCTCTCCATTCGCTAGTGAAGCGCGTCGTTATGGTATCAATATAGCAGGTAAGTTAGTGTTTAAACTCAAATTTTTACCCACCAACCTTACCCTGTACTTAATAGTATATAAAATTAAACAAATAAACACTGATTATTGAATTGAATTTTTGATTTTCTCGTCGATTGATTGGACCGAAGTGTTCGGTCTCAGGTTGACATGTCGGCTTATTGTGCAGATGCTTCGACGATGTCTGGGGATTTGATTTGTATACAATTGGTGGATGGTGGCTAGCAGTGGAATCCAGGATGCGCATTTCGTCCTAATTGGGACTCGTCATCTGGATGTACCTGGGCACTGGGTTCGAGCCTCGGTGGGAACATCATCACTCACTGAGAAATGCAGGTACATCCAGATGACGAGTCCCAATTAGGACGAAATGCGCATCCTGGATTCCACTGCTAGCCACCATCCACCAATTGTATACAAATAAACACTGAGTTTGAACAAGCACCCTTCAGTATTTAAGCGTTGGTTTTCGGGGATCTGTTTAACTACAGGATTTCATCATGGGAGTACTGGACAGCTGTTCCGTTCTAGTGCGGGACTCTTCAGTGGTACATACCGATGCCAGCTGATGATGAAATCCTTTAACCCTTCTGTATTGTTAGTTTACGACCCTTCGACCGATAGCTGCTACCTTGACGTAGTGGTCGGGCTTGCACATCTCAATGACCCAACAAGTTACACTGGCTGGAACCAATGTTCCTGCAGGGCCTACCATGCAAGGAAGGTTGTTAGGATAGCGATTAGACTAAATGCAGTTACCGGCATAGTGTAAGAATCTTTCTGGGGGGGGGTGTCTGCGGGCGAAGTCGTACTGCTGGGGAACAGGGGTGTAACAGCAGTGAGGTGTTTCCCTCTGACGACCAGCATGGCAGCTATGCTATCTCTCCACTCTAGAGAGAGGGGGTTAGAAAAAGTCGACCTCAAAGACTGTACATCCCGACTTACCTTACAGTGGTCCGTTACCGTACTAATACGGAACCAAACCATGAAACCAGTTCATACAGGCCGTGTGTAACCGACTGGCTTCAAGCAGTTATCCCATGGGCTCTGCGGTCACGTGACACTAATCCTGTCTCTGTTTCAGTTAATCGAAGAAGAATCAAGCTTACGACCCTGGATGCAGCTGTCAGTGTAACGATATATATATATATATATATATGTCTATATATATGCCGTTACACTGTTTGTCCAGTCACGTTTGCCATCATAAGCTATTCCAACTTGTCTACTTACAAAATTTGCCTTAAATGAATACACTACGTGACTTTTATTTAATTGAAGACATTCAGCAACTTCCAGGTGTTTTGATATGCGTAACAATACAGTCTCACACAAGGTTGGAAGCGAGAGAAACGTATTTCTGTTCTGTTATAATATGATACTCACAAAAGTCATTCACCTATCACTACTTCAGTTTTGTGAATCCTGATGATGGTGGGATGTTGTAGACAGTTTTTACCAATTACTTGTTTTGCAGAATAGAAAGGTTCGGTTGTTGCTAGTTACTAGACAAATATGTGTTATCACCGTCACGCTTCACTACAGCCGGTAATGTATATTCATGTCCTTGGAGAACGCCTATCATAATACAAATACCTATGGCACAATATCACTGAGTTTTCTTACTTTGATTCGTTTATTCGATACAAAACGGTTTGTTTTCTCAAACGATCCCATCAGAACACACGACCGATAGTTAGCTTATTGAATAAATTCACATTCCTGGTACCTGATGTGCATTAGTTCAGTTCACCACTTGTTTTACGAGATGTTCTAGTTGCATAAGCGTTGGATACTGAGAAAACCAAGGATTGGTGTCTTCCTCAAATGCGTTCGATATTTTAGCTGTAAGTATAAAGTTTGCGTCATTATCTGTATATCAGCCGTCTTTGTATCAAACAGGCTACACACCTTTCGTTTACATCTCACCTTTCCTTTCCATATTTTATAGGTGGAGTCCCAGGTGATATAACCGTCATTTTGGGGCTAGTTATTGAAGAGAAATCATCATCATCATTAGCGAATGATGATTTATGCAGAGTTGGTAGTCATATTCGACAGTCACAACGGTCAATGCATTCTCATTTATCTGCTAGACCAACACGAAGTGTATCCTGCTCTGAATTAACCTGTGATAGTAGACTGTCCTCATTTTCTTCCACTTCCTCATCCTCCTCCTCCTCCTCCTCCTCCTCCTCTTCAAGTTACTTCTCTTCATCTTATCCTTCAAAGTCAACTTCCTTTTTCACACAATTATCACAAAATAATTCATGTAATTAAATGCATTTTTAGATGCTTTGTATTTTCCTTTACATGACAAGAAAAATGCGATATCTTTTCTTATCCTACAGTTATTTGTCTGAATATTTATTTCTGAATAAACCGTGTATATCTTATATTAACTACCTTTTTTTTTAGAAAAAAAAAGTAGTAAAACAAATGAGGAGGAGCAAGAAGAAGAGGGTCAAAGTTGGTCAGTTAATTTGTGGTGTATTTTCAAATGCTACTTTTACGTACTGTTGAGTGTCGCATGTAAGTAGATGCATACGAATGGAATTGTAAATACTTTTAGACTCAAGAAACAATGAATCCCATCGAACTATGTGAATGTCACAGTTTTTTATCCTCCTTGAAATGTTTTCTTGTGCTTCTTGTAGTAATTTCTACTTTACTTTCATTTATATATTCACAGTTATCAAAAATGCAGTTCTTTTCATGTAGTTTCAGTTCCTTTTTTTTAAAATCTTCTATTCTGAAGATTTCTTCCTTGATTGTACATAAAACAAATAATAATAATAATACTCATACTTTTACAGATTAATTATGAAAGTCTGATTCTTTTTCTCAAGTATATATTTATCAATATACCGAACCAGTGTATAGATTTTAATTGATAGAATCTAGGATGCGCATTTCGTCCTAGTTAGGACTCGTTGTCTGGATGTACCTGCATTTAATTAAATAATTAATATGATCCGTTGTACAAGAAGTGGCTCTCGTGGCCCATGTGGTCTGGTGGATAACGCTTTGGAGTTTGAGACCTATGGGCGCTGGGTTCGAGCCTCGGTGGGAACATCACTCAATGACTGTGGAATGCAGGTACATCCACCTGGAGGACGAGTCTCAAATAGGACTAAATGGTCCTTGTCGTGGATTCCACTGCTAGTCACCATCCACCAATTGAATACTAATTAGATGCTCAGACATCGTCGAAGCATCTGCACAAGAAGCTGACATGTCAACCTGAGACCGAGTACTTCGGTCCAATTAATCGACGGGAAAATCTAAAATTCAATTAAACAAACCAGTATATATCGCGTAGATGCGTAGTGAAGCTGGTTACGAAAATTACGGTTGACAAGAAGAATATACCTCCATCGGATGTACCTCTAAAAACATGGAAAGCCCGTTTTGATGAATTTTCTTGTCATGGCTCTTATCATATGAGTTTAATTAGTGACCACGTTAAAGCTAACTTAAATGTAACCTTACTTGAGATAATGGAGAAACAGAAATGAGAAGTTTCTGGGCAGACAGAAATATCGGAATTTCCAAAAATGATTGGTCTCGCTAAGACTCAGGAAAAAAGCATTAAATGCAGGTTCCCTGTCTGATAATGATAGGCAGTTGCATGACCCTATTAGCTTAAATACTAAGGTAAACACTAATTCTGTCTCTCAACTAAGTTGTGTTTATGACAACTCTCAAAAAAACTGAAGACCCATAGCACTGTCATTCGTCAGTGTCCGTCTAGTGCTGCCCTAACTGGAACTCTGTTCCTTTCAATGACAGCCAGCAAAGGTTCGCAATCTCCCCACCAGTCTCAACTCTATCTCCTCAATGAGCTGAACGATGACATAACTTCTCGTTTAATTTTATCATCATTATAAATTTAAGGTAATGCATTTCATCGAATAATATGTCACTTTTCCAAACTCTCCAAATCAAAGAGACCCCATATATTCAAACGAATCTCAAAGTACTCATCAGGTTACTAGTACTTCAACTTCACCACACCTAAAAATACTTCCCTACGATGGATGCAATTGTTCCTATAGTCTGCAAAGGTTGTTCAAAACAATATGAAAAAATATTCGTTTCAAGTTTTGTCACAGAAGTGGGAATGTCGACTTTGTGGCGGTAACATCTCCAATTGACGAGACCACCCTAACTTTCACATCTGATGTGTCATCAATTGAAACGATGCACTGTTAAACCGAGCTGGGCGTAAACCTAAAGAAGACAACTTGTCTGTGTATACTATCTTCATACTCTTCTCCAATCCGTTTTAAATGGTAATGATTTCTTTGTAGAGTCTGAAATGCCTTCTTCACTATCACAACCACAACCTTTGCAGAATAACAATAAGTCACATTGTACTCGTCTAATCACAGTTACACTGGTTTATTCGTCAAGTTGGTGGGGGAAAATGTATTAAGGTAATTAAGGAACAGACTGACAAATACCCTGAAACATACTTTGGAAATATGAAGTAGATCGCTCGTTCTCATTTCTTACAGATGGTCGCGAAGAACAAGGGTTTTGTCATCCTTCTCTAGATCTAAGATCTAGATTTTACTAGTCCAAGGATTTTGCAAACTAAAGTGTTTGCATTGGTGGGATAAAGATGATACTGGTTTCTGGGAACTGATATTCGAAGGACAATCTGTTGCGATCTGAAGTTTCTCAGTGTTTATGTTCGTATATCGCGTGTCTACAAAATTGCAGTGTAAATCAACCAGTCGTCAGTTTCGCGTGTGTATCTTGTTAATGGGCAAAATGTCGAAAAATTGTGTCATTTTAAGTGTTCTAGATGAATTGAACTTGTGAAGCAATTTTAATTGTTAATTTAATGAAAAATGAGCATGCAAATTTCTATACTAGAAAAAGAAATTTAAATGCAAATATTTCTAGCACCTGTTCATCAGTGTATGAATTCGTTTATACAGCAAATCCTGGGATGTAAATAATATTCGTTTTCATGAATTTTGCTAGTTGTTATATATGATTGGGTTCGTAGGAAAGAATGTACACGGAGGATGCCTATTTTCCCTTCAGTTTTTCGCATGATACCGTAATGTTAAGATCGAATTCCTTGTTTGTGAACGTTGTTCACGTGTTACATGCGGTTCTCTGATCTCTGTCTTTCTGGGATTATATTTGCGCCATACGTTAGTTTTCCTTTTTTTCATTGATAATTTTGTTCAAAGTTTGCATAAATACATGCACCAGTTGATGAAATCAAGCGTTTGACACACGTTTAGATGAATTCTCGGTAGGTGTCAGTTTTATAAATAGAGAATAGTCACTGCCTTCAGTGGGTATCTGTGATGTAGACTATATGCGTTGCATATCTGTCTCATAGCTACAGCATTTGTTGTGTTTAGTTTGCTAATAAATGTTAACTGGAGTTTTTCAGGACTCCGTTCACTAGACACCAACAACAATTTCACCAGCCTTCACAGTTCCATTGACCGTAGGATAGGAAGTACCTTGGTAGGTGTAGGTAGGTAGGTGGTAAGGGTTTGGCTTGTTCGTATTATGGTGAGATGCTGTTGTTTTGCTGATGAATTCCAGGTTGCGAACAGCAGGCACATTACCGGCCCTTCCCATGTTGTGGTCATTTGACCCTGTGTGCAGCGTGCATGTTGAGACGTGAAAGGTGGTGAACTATGCTTGCAAAAGTTGAAATCAGAGGAAACTCCTATCACGCACCATCAAACTATGAAATTGCACTAATATTTCTTTTAGTGTTAACATGCCCAAGTCGCTTTAACAAACGTTGCATTTCTGCCTTTTGTATGTCCTAAAACCGTGGAATTCTAATTCTCGCTTATCCCTTAACTCAGCTAAGGTTACCGTAGATTTAGTCTTAAGAGAGCTGTAAGATGAAAATGCATTAAAAGTACTTGCTGCCTCTCTGGGTGTACATCCGATGACTTTGTACTCTCGTTGTCCCCAGGAGGTTTCGTAGCCATCTTCAGTGTGCGTCTACCAGGCATATTAGTTTGGTATGTTGAGCACTGTTATTATTATTATCGCTAGTATGTGCAGCAGAACTGTTGTCCTTTTTACCTGTGTTAAGTGTTACTTTATGTTATGTTGTAGAAGATTGTGTTGTAACAGTGAATAAACCGCCTATATGGGATCAAAAGCCGTGACAGTTAGTTAAAACCGTAATCAGACATTTTTTAACTTAACTTTATTCCTTTGCGTTCCCAACGGAACATAGACTTTCAAGTATTTATTTGGTATCATGATGATCGATAGTAAACTAATTAGTGAGCCACAAATTCTATAAACAGGAGGTAGTGCGTTTAGATAGTTGGAAGCAATCGGCAACAGGAAGCCTTGAACCTAGATTTCGTGCTAGTTGGCACTCACCAGTTATCAAGGCGTATCTGCAACGTTGAGGAACTCATGTCCCTACTGAGATTCGAACCCGCGTCACCCAGTGAGTGCTGCAATCAGAGACGTTGCCACTGGGCTATTTGGGGCTTGTGATTGACCTCCTGTAGGACTGCAGTGAGTATTTTGATTGGAAAGCAGTAACTAGTATGACGTGTCTAGTCCTTTGTCTGGTGCAGACTGAATTCTATCAGTCAGGTTTGCAATGTGGCCACCATATCCCTTCTATTCCTAACATTACTTTGTGAATAGATTATGATATATATATGTCTTGAATGGAACGAAATGGTTGTAATCGACAACTAATTTGTGATAAAACAGAAGACTGACAAATACCCGTATAACTTTTATTAACATCGGTACTACTACTGTTATTATCAAACTCGCGACAAGCAGTTGCCATTGTAAGACATGGAGAAGACAATGTAATTGTACTGTGAACAGTTGACGAGTTATTTTAAGATCCAATTCGATTGAGGTTGATGAGCATTTTGAGGCTATAATTCTGCGTTTAATGAGATAAGTATTGTTCATGCTACATTCTCAATTTCTGGAGTATGTAGAGTATGCAAGAAATTTGTAGTGATTATATCAAGATATTTCACTGTGTAGATGGTGAGACAAGAAATCACTACATGTATAACATCATTATTTACTGACTCTCCATTTATTGAAGGTGCCAATTACACAGGAAATCAACCAACCGAATGAATAGAATCACACCTGAATTACTGTTAAAATACACATTCAGTATCCCTTTCAAGTTCAGCTGTGAATTCTACAGACTTATGAATGGAATTGTAAACATTTATTTCCCGATACGAGTTTAAAACAAGCAATAAAGGTTAATAGAGCAGGATGATTTAATAAATTCATCAAATTTTGGTAGACCTCTTCCTCAGCTGAATACTCTACATACACGGATATATATATACTTTTGAAATTACATTGGGAGATATAAGACTGATAAGTAACCAAACTACATTGAATTAGTTATGCAGAAAGACACGTGCGAATGTTTTCCAGGCCATGTCCAAACAGATAAAGGGAGAGAGAGAGTATGATATATCAAAATTAAGACAAATTGCATTACACTTCAGTTACATCACTTAGATAAACAATCAGTCATTAGAGAATATAACAAGAATTGCAAACAGAGTTATATCAATAGTAATAGTTGTAATAATAATAATAATAATAGTGTTGAAGTGAGTCATGATAATCCTACTGATAAAGGATAGCTTTAAATGAATCAAGAATAATAAGTAAAACGTATTACCATGGTAGATTCAGAGTCACGATCATCTCCTTTTGTACACAAAGACTTATTTTATAAACTCGTATTGCACAAGCCCTTGCAATCGTAAGCATCTTCTTGTTTCTTTGTCTGCCGACGATAGTGCACGACTTGACCGCGTCATGTCCGTTATCCACAAGATGATTTGTTATTGAGGATTTTGGCACTTTGCACTCAGCTGTTTACAACCATTTTGGCAAATGCTCC